AACCCCACTCCATCCTAGCACTGAAGATGTTACCTAGGCAGGTAATGAAACATTTGCAAGAAAACAACCAAGCTCAGAGAACCCCAAGGACTCCACAGTTCAACCTTCAGCTACACATATTTTCTTCTACTGAAGATGATATTGTCCAGTGGAGTACTGGATACATTGCACCCATCCACCAAGTTGCTTCTTTAATGGTACAAAATAGAAGAGGAATCACCTGGTGTCCTACTTTCCATCTCTATTCCACTACTGTTGTGTACATAAAAGGGTTAAAACTGGAACAACCGAGGCTCACTCCTTTGGGAGCACCTACGCTGATTACCCACAGTATTGTTTCCAGTGGCTCTGGAAAGTTCTGTGACCTTTTGATACAGGTATATATAGATCATGCACATTTTGTCTGTTCTTCTTATCTTATGTTCTCCCTGCTTTTGCATGCCTTTTATCCTGTTTTTGCCAGGTAACTTTCCTGATGTTTGCTGATGTTTAATAAATAAACATCAAGCTATATTTTTGCCAGTTATGTAGGGTGTTTACTTTCTGTGATCTGGATATAGGGATTGCCTGGACGCTAACCAAGTTGGAAATTACCAACAGTAATTTTTCAGCAATGAGGACAGCTGCATGTTACTCCTACTGAGTTCACTGGGACTTATTCCCAGATGTTTACAGGGCCGGTCCTCCCATGAGAAAAGTTGAATTCTTAACACAGACGGCAGTTCAAAAGTACAGTAATGGATTATGCTCTCACCGTACATTCACCATCAGGAATATTTGGGGCATTTGGTAGTCCTCACTTCGCCAGCTGGATCCTGTGCCTTTCTCTGTGCTGGTCACTGGGCCAGCTATGAGGCCAGGCAAAAAGGAACTCTTAACATTGCTCAGTTCTTCTGGCACAAATGCTACTTGCCTTAGAAGACCAGAGTCATGCTCTTTGCAAAAGCTGTTGCACTGATAAGAGAGGGTAGGACCTCACCAGTGTGACCGACGGTCAGGAGAATATAGAATCATTACAGAAAAATTATCTTAGTCCTGGGAAAGTGAGAAAGAAACTTAAAACAACTCTAGCTTAGTTTCTTAGGTACAAGTTAGAGAGGGACTTTGATAGGCTTTCAAGACTGTTATAATACCCTAACTGCATTAAAGTACATTCCAAGACTCCTAACATCTCCAAGGACTGACACCTAGCAATCTAGCATCCAATGCCATGTGTTCCACTACCCTCGCCTACTAGAGAGTGATGGGAAAATGAGGAAAGTTTTCAAGAATGGATCCTCTGTATCCAGTGTTCAGCTATAGGAGAAGGCAGGAAGAGAAATACAGGTAGTCCTTACTTAGCAACTGTCTCATTTAGTGACAGTTCAAAGTTGCAACAGTGCTAAAAAACAACTTAGTGACCAGTCCTCACATCTGCGACCTTTGCAGCATTTTTCTGCCTTATTTTCACTTGCTTATTTACCCCATACCAAGATGTCTTCAAAGAGAAAGAAAAAGAACCCCAGTTCAGCTGAAGGAAGTAGCAAGAAGCAAAGGAAAACTGAAGGAAAATCGTAAGCACAGTCGCGGTCATGTGATTTTCACTTAGTGACTGCTTTGCTTAACAATCAAATTGCTGGTCCCAGTTGCAGTGCTAAATCAGGACTACCTATAGAGAGAGTTTTGACACAAGAAAGACAGAATTTTGGAGGCTTCCTGACACAGAAAATAGGAAGAGAAATTTATCAGATGTAGCATTCTTATACACACACACACACACAAACAAAAACACATATGCAAAGGGAAACCATTCTTTGCATAGGCACCACTTCAACTGAGAATGGAGAATAAAATAGAAAGAATATTTCTGGACTGGAGGGAGAGAGAGAATAAAAAAGAGTCACCTTTTCTTTGCAGCTTACACAAAGGGTTCTGCTCCTTGAAGGCCTGGGTTAGATGGCTCCTCCCACAACTGGAAAGGAAGTAAAATGGGAGCATCTGTGAAATGTTGCTTTGTCAGGAAGCCTGGGC